TTATTATTCGATACCAATAAAGCGTCTGTTTGTCTCCTTATATGCTGTTACATACAAGTCACGAACACAACTTTCATTTAGTTTTTTGTGTTATACGTATTATGATGTAGAATTATAATGAAATGGTATAATACACCATCCTACCAAAAGTCACGGGTAGTTATGAATAAAACATGTCTTTATTCCAAGAAATTAATAGCGTGTTGGCCCACCTTTGGCCTTAATGACTGCTTCAATTCATCGTGGAAGACTGTCTACTAATTTCTGGTAGAAAGATGGTGGTATTGTGCTCCACTCCTCCTTTAAAGCATTAGTAAGCTTCACTACTGAAGATGGCCGTCTTGGCCTTGCCCTAATTCTGTGTTCCAGGTCATCAATGTAGGAGACAGCATTCATGGATCCATGCATTGCAACCAGTGGACCTAGTTCATACCATAAGAAGCACTTCCAGACCATGATACTACCACCTCCAAACTTTACTATTGGGACAACACACTCAGGTAATAAGTGTTATCCAGGCATCCTCCATACCCAAACACGTCCATCAGACTGGAAGAGCGTGTAGCGTGACTCATCGCTCCACAGGGCTGATTTCCATTGATCCACGGCCCAGGTTTGGTGTATCGTGCCCTATGCTAATCGACGGTGTGCATTTGGTTTTGTTATGAACGGCTTCTGGGCTCTAGCTCTTCAGTGAAAAGTCCTGGCATACAGTTCTCGGCGTATCGTGGAAACACGATTGCCTGTGGCTGCTTGCATCTCCAAACACAAATTTTCTAAGGTCTGACGGCGAAATAAGTTAACCAGCCTTCTCAAAGCACGTCGGCTCCTGTCAATGAGTATTTAACGTCTACCTGGTCGTTTCCTGAGTTCATTGTCACCTGTGGACTTCCATTTCTTAAGCAGGTTGCCAATTGTCGACCTAGGAATGTTTAATTGCTGTTCAAGAGTTCGTACAGACATTTTCCCCAAATGATATCCAACTATCCCCCCCTTGAATCTCTATTAGCTCCGTGTACTCGTCGCTCGGTATGTAAGTTTGAAATAACTTCCGAGCGAACCGCTGATCACCTTTATAGGGCAAACTATTTGCATAATTCGTCGTCACACCCATTTTCCTGCAATCAGAGGTGTGTCCTATGACTTTTGATAGGATAGTGTACATGTATGAATATTCTGAGAGTTCTAAGTGAATAGTATCAGGTTGAACGAACAAATTTTGTACATATTCTTATTTCTTCAAAACCAACCATTCGAAAACTACTGGAAGGATTAAGTGAAACTTGTTCATGTTTTTAGGACTACCAACTCGAAAACTATTGAACGAACCTATTGGAACTTGTACATGATGGTGAGCTTTAAAACCATCCATTCGAAAATTACTGGACGGTTCTATCAAAAATTGTTCATGTTTTTATGTTTTTAAGACCACCAACTCAAAAAATATTGAACGAATATATTGGAACTTGTATATGTTCGTTAACTCTTAAAACCATCCATTCGAAAACTACTGGGCGATTATATCAAAACTTGTTCATATTTTTAAGACTACCAGCTCGGAAACTATTTAGCGGATCTATTGAAACCTCTACATGTTCGTGTGCTTTTAAAAGCATACATTCGAAAATACTGGACGGTTTTATCGAAACTTGTAAATGTTCTGGTGTTTGTAAAACCATCAATTTGAAACTAATTGACAGAAATAGCGAAACTTCTATATGATTTTACGTCATTAAAAGCATCTATTCAAAAAAATGCTGGACATTTTCAGTGACTCTTGTACATGTTCTTGTGCTTTCAAAATTATCCATTCGAAAATAATGGACAGTTTAAGGAACTTTAATAAGAGCCCAGGGATGTTGTGAAGAAAAAAAAATCGTGAAATGTTTTTGTTGTCCGTTTATACACTGAGGTAGGGGGTGTAACACGTTGTACACTGAGGTAGGGGGTGCAACACGTTGTACTTTAGTAGACAGAAGAGGAATATAAGAGCATTATACTCTAGTCCGAGTGGCTGGTGTTTTAAGCATCATTTGTGTGGTATTTTCATTGTTATTTTACTCACTCCAGTGTAAACTCACATTTTGACATTAATATTAAAATTAATGATACTAGTTTATTATTTTGTATATTTCAGCGGACAGTTGTTATAGATAATTTAATAATTTCTTATTCCCCAAATTACTATATTATTATTATTTGAGCAATATAATATGATATTATTATTGTATCCCATGCTCATTTTCTTGTTTAAATGCTCTTAGGTATAAGACTACATATAAACGTTTCACTTGATGTTTCTGGTGGCAATCTGAAACGATAATAAGAAACTGCTACTAAATGTTAGCACACTGGTAGACTGGCTGTTACCGTTTTATCGTACGTAATCACTTCATGGCCCGTTATCATTCGATAATAATGAAGTTAGTTTATCGTAATGACTCATAGCTATCCTTGAATCCCATTAAAGACATTTTATCGTACGTTATCACTGGCCGTCGTCTTTGAATCCCAATAAAGCTACTTTATCGTAAGTAATGACTCGCTATTATCCCTCAATCGTAATAAAGCCGTTTTATCGAACGAATTGGCTCGCTGTTATCTCTCGATCATAATAAAGTCGATTATTCGTACTTAATGACTCACTGCTATTCCTAGGTCATAATAAAGTCGATTTATCATATGTATTGATTCGCTGTTACCCCTCGATAATAATAATAGTCATTTTATTGTTCATATTGTCTCGCTGCAATTCTTGAGCCACTATAAAGTTGTTTAATTGTTCACATTTGTTCCTTTATTTCTTTGCTCTATTTTTTTAGGCAAAAATATACAATGTGTTATCTAAGTTATATCCAAAGCGAGGAATTGAACACTTGATTTTAGCGTTGTAAGTACTCAAGCTTACTTGTGACCCTTGAATCATAATAAAGAGTTTTATCTTATATAATGACTTAAATAATGTATATCTATCGGGATCAATGAAACCAGTAGAACATTATCAAACAATTTCATATTTTTCTTTAGGCACATAAACTGGCTCAGGATCCATGAAGCACCAGAACATAGTTCAAAATATTCACCATTTATTTGAGACACATAAGCTGGTCTTTCCCAAATTTTTTTCAGTTTTCATTGCTACGTAATCATAATCTATCGATATAGTGCTATAGGACAAACTAGAGGTGTTTACATATCTAGTAGTTACTAGTTTATACACTTAGGGTATTAGCCACTGCTGTGCTGCATGTGGCAGGAGGCTTTCAACAGAGAAAACACAACCCCCTCATTGCAGTAGTTCTAGCAATTTACTGCGTTAGCACTTATCTCAATATGAGACGCCGATTTACATTAAGAAACAAAGTGGCGGATCTGATATGTTTCTATATAGAAATTGTTCTTACTAAGTCAGTCCATTACACTGTTGTATCCATAAGTTACAAAAGTGGCTGCAAATATTTTCAGTCGAAAATAAATAGCTTTCTAAGATGTTGACTGATTGAAAAAAGTTTTACATGATAATTGAATGCGATCATTGTGAAGTATAATTGGTTAGTAGCATTGTACATTGCCATTTATATAAAAATCTTACATTGAAATTTTTGGAAACTTTTTTATAAAAACTTAATAATTAGTCGTCTTCTAGAACAGTCGTTCACACTAGCTCGATGTTGTCTTCTACAATAGTCACTCACACTAGGATAGTCACCCAACTATCTCGATGTTGTCTTCTACGATAGTCACTCACACTAGGATAGTCACCCAACTAGCTCGATGTTGTCATCTATGATAGTCGTTAACACTAGCTCGATGTTGCCTTCTACGATAGTCACTCACACTAGGATAGTCACCCACACTAGCTTGATGCTGTCTTTATAGTAGTCACTCACACTAGGATAGTCACCCACACTAGCTTGATGCTGTCTTCTACAGTAGTCACTCACACTAGGATAGTCACCCAACTAGCTCGATGTTGTTTTCTATGATAGTCGCCCACGTTATCTCATTGTCTTGTCTAACGGATTCTGGTTTTTCGTTCTGATGGGCACATTGATGATTTGGACAAAGTCTGTGAAAATGTTGCGAGTTAGATGCGGTTGAAATATGGCTTAATAAAAGAACGTCAATCTTCTTAACTGTGTAAAGACTACAGTGAATATAAAAGTAAATTTCTTAGAGAAATGGATATTATATTAGCACGACCAAAGTAAGGATTATATTCACTGTATGACCTTGACATTCAATGTCATGTATCAGAGCCTGCTTATTACTATCGCTCTCTGTAATTGGTGTAAAATATTAAGTTTTTACAAGCTATTATCTTATGTACAATTATGTATAAACTTATTAACATTATTTAGTTTGAAAACTAGTAAAGCAAATATTAAAGAAGTTTTGTTTTTATTTATTCCTTTGCAAAATCGAGATGAACTTTGAATTTATCTTTAATATGACTAAATAAAGAACATAGCTTATACTTACATTCCTTGGTCTCCGAAAGAAAACAAATATGATAGAGCTAGAGTCTTGGAATTTAAGTAGATGTTTTCATAAGGAATGTCTGATGACGTGTTCCAACGGTATAGCAGATAAGGTATATATTGTTTTAAATCAAGATTAGCTTTCCAGTTAATCTTCTTGATAAGAATACAAGAAAGGAAATGTGATTCTTATTAGATACTAACAAAACTCAAGAGCGATCTCCTGTCAGATCACTGCTGTCAGATCTGTAGTACCGTGGACTAAGATACACAACGATACCTAACTCCAGCCTAAAGCGAGAGCATTTAAGTCGTATTTCTTTGGATGTTTTTAATAATCTCTTTCGTTTTTATTTTATCAATTTTTTGGTGTCTATAGCTAAATGATTTACAAAATAATTCGGAAAATATAAAAAAAAATATTGTAAAACAAGAATTACATACTTTCAAATTTTTCCATAAAGATATCAACAAAAAGTTTACTAAGCAACTATCACAGCCTGATTTTGTCCAAAATAGCTTCCATTCTGTATACCGCTGTCTTGGATGGAAAAGTGGCTCTTCCATGTGACGTCTCCTCTCCCTCCCCCGATGACTCTGCAGCTCTAATTCTCTGGTACAAAGATGACTCAGCTCAACCCATCTATACCTTGGACGCTCGACGGGGTAACGTGGACCACGCCCACCAGTCTTCCAGCCCTGAGCTGGAGAGTCGTGCTTACTTTAATATGATCAACAGGCCAGCATTTCTTCAGCTGGACCCCGTGAAGGAAGATGATGCAGGAGAGTATCGGTGTCGGGTGGACTTCCATAAGGCCCGAACTGTGAATACTGTCATCACTCTGAAAATCATTGGTATGTTTAACTATCAGGAGAGGTAATAATGTGAATGCTTTTTATTAGTGGTTATTGTTAATACAGTTAACACTAAATGAGTTAATTGGGAATTTTGATTAAAAGTGCAGTTAATAGTGTATGTGTTTTGCATTTAACAGTAAATTTGTTTAATGACAAATTTCATTGGTAATGTATCAACAGTTTATGTGTTGAACTACAGGTCTTGTTGGTTGTGTAACTAACGGTTTATGTGTTTAACTATAGGTCTTGTTAGTTGTGTAACTAACGGTTTATGTGTTTAACTATAGGTCTAGTTAGTTGTGTAGCTAACAGTTTATGTGTTTAACTATAGGTCTTGTTGGTTGTGTAACTAACGGTTTATGTGTTTAACTATAGATCTTGTTAGTTGTGTAACTAACAGTTTATGTGTTGAACTATAGGTCTAGTTAGTTGTGTAGCTAACAGTTTATGTGTTTAACTATAGGTCTTGTTAGTAATGTAATCTTGAACAGGGAAGCACATTACGCTAAAATAATAATAGGTACACAAACAACAATTTATAAGCATAAGAAAACGTTTTATCGATGATGGAACATAATACATGCTTCGACAGCAAGTACTAAGCAATACAACGTTTATACAAAAGCAAAAGACAGAGATTAAATGTGACGGAAATGGTGTCAGTAGGTGACACGATATAGGTAAAGGTCAAGTCTGGTCAAGTGTATGAATGGCCAATAGACCTTGTCAAATACGGTTGATGTTGTTAGGGCCATTGTCACAGTTTAGTGAGAGATCGTTTGCTTTGATGATTTCTATAGTCTCTAAACAGGCTCTTTCTTTTTTAGTTTTGATTTGGTGTAGGGGAAAATTTCACCCCAAAGTATTTTCTGACCTGTTTCTTATTGATGATATGTTAAGGCGGATATCTGGAATTCACCTCTAGATACGTTATTTGTTTCTTATTTCTAAGAAACGTGACGTTTGTCCTATGTATGTCTTTCGAAATTCACATGGTATACTGTGATCTTAGGTAAAAATGACACAAGAGGAAACAAAAAGCGGATATTGTGTCCTCCACCACAAAGAAATTGGACAATGTCCTTGTGTCCCACAACGTAGTCTTCACGCAGGTTCTTCAGCCGTTATTGAAGTTCCACGTATACCCGTTTCCTCTTCTTCTTGGGAGGCAGTCCAATATCAACCCTTGCTAATAGGCCAGCAACGGTAGCCTCTTCTTGTTGTATAGTCTTGATGCGCTTCCATATAGATGGGTGCTGGTGTCTTACGATATGGAATAATCTGCAATTCCATCTTCACATTGGTTGTTGGTCCTGGGGCAGTCATTAAATGTGGCCTCGTGAACATTCTATAATTCTGGAGGAAACCAGGGTGGAACACGGTGCAGATTGATCACTGAATTACCTGGCTGTGGGTAACATAAACCGGCAGGTAGTAAGGCAAGTGCATATAGTTCCCCACAGAACTACCGGAAATTGTTGCATCTCGGTAGGTGTTGGTAAAGCCAAGTTCTTGAACTTTTCTTCAGGTGTTCTGTGGCAGGTGGCAGAAGCATCTTCGTGTGTGTGTGTGTCTGGTCCAAGTACAGTGTTGATGGTCTGAATTACAGCTTGTTCAAAGTCAACCAAAACAGTAGTTGGATACGGAACTTGGTCCAGTTGACGACAACGTTCCATTACTGCCTGCAGAAGTTCCTCTTAGGCATCCTAAGTTTTGATTTGAAGAAGAGCATAGACAGAAGAAACTAATGTGTCATTAAGGGGTACTCTGATCCCATAAAGTTGGAGAAAGCCTAGTGGTATCATATTCATATTCACAAATTCATATAATTGCATGTGAAGCCACACTGTAAAGAATTAGAACAAATTTTGCAATGTTAAGTTACAACGGATGGTGTGCGACACAATTAGCTAATGAGTTCTTCTCACTTCTTCTTGGCTTATGTTGTGTGGGTGTGGCACAACTAGCCAGTGAGTCATTTTTACCGGCCATCGGGATACTGTATATGCCCTGTTTATGTTCTATTAATAGGGATTCTTTCGGGTTAGGTAGTAAGATGCGAATTTTATGTAAAGGTTTTGAATACAGTTTTTATATCAATTATCAAGTTATCAAAAAGACTAGTAATTTCGTTAGCAATATCTGGCACAAAATAAAATGAAATAAATTTGTTATATTTGTGTTGTTGATGGGTGAGAGAGCAGAGTTAACATAAACGTTTTAATGTTTTGAATTTTGATACAAGCCCTATTCACGATATTCGTGTTGAAATCTCTAGATAATGCTACGTTCGTTAGAGTTACGAACGTAGCATTATCTAGAGATTTCAACACGTTAGAGTTACGATAAAAGTTTTAATGTTTTGAAGTTTGATACAAGCCCTATTTATAATATTGGTGTTGAAACCTCTAGATAGTGCTACGTTCATTCCAATAAGTAAGCCTTCTTTGTGGGTGCAAAGTTGTATAGTACGATTAACGTAAGTGAAGTTGGAGGATATTTTCTGTGATAGGTGGTGATTAGATCTTATATGTGACGGCATGGTGACGAAATGGGGTTTCCTCTATATCAATAACTTATCATCAGATTTCTATGTTAAATTTAGGCTTATACTTTACTGTTAAACCTAGAAACGTATCTATCGAACAAATTGTTGCTACCGCAGTATCTAACATCAACTCTTTAAATTTGAATCTCAGTGAAGCTAAAAAATCAGAATTACAGCTTATAAGGACAAACTATTAAAACTTAACCTTAACAGAAATAAAGCCAACGCCCTAAACGAATTAAAATCTAACAACAGGATATACGTAACAAAAATTGATAAAGGTGGATGCATTGTAGTCGTAGATAAATCACATTATAAAGCAGGTGTCAACACCTTATTAAATGATGGATCTTACACCATACTCAAAGGTGATCATACCAACAAAGTTCTTTCATACATTAAAAAACTAGTTAATTGTTGCCTATCCTCACTGCTAAAGAAAAAAAAATCCCTTATCCCATACATTATTACCTCCCCCCCCCCCGATTGTACGCCCTTCCAGAAATTTACAAAGATAACATTCCCTACAGACCAATAGTCTCTAGCATAGGCTCACCATTACAAAACATTGATGACTTTTTAGTTAAGAGATTAAACCCTCTACTTGAAACCAACCCCTATTTTCGCAAAAACTCTCTAGATTTTGTAAATAAAATATAAAAACTTTGAACTAAACCAAGAAGATATATTAGTATATTTTGATATAATATCTTTATTTACCTCAATACCTATTGAACAAACTTTGGACTGTCTAAAAGAAAAACTAGAAGACAACCCTGTAACAGAACACCTTATCAACCTCACAAAATACGAAAGCCACTTTCACAAACTAAATAATAGATTAGCGATGGGACCCCCTTCCATTTCCCCTCCACATGTCCGTTTTAGAAGAATAACTGTTTGGAAACAAATCCATACACACCAAGAAACCTGAAATCCGGTTGAGATACATAGACGATATTTTCAGTATATGGCGACATGGGAAAGAAATGTTTCTGAATTTTATTGAATTCTTAAACACGTTAAGACCCAATGCCATAATTTTCCCACATGAAATAAAATCCAACAGTCGTCTTCTCTTTTTAGATGTGAATGTAAAAAGAGGAAATAACAAAGTTACCACCAGTATATACATAAAACCCAATTACGTCACCATGCCGCCAAACATAGAATCTAATCCCCACCTATCACACAAAATATCTTTCTGCTTCACCTACGTAATTCATGCTATAAAACTTTGGACCCACAAAGAAGACTTACTTATTGAATTGAACTACCTAAAGAACAAATATATGAATCAAGGTTTCAACTCCAATATCATAGATAGGGCTTGTATCAAACTTTAAAACAGTGAAATATATTATGTTAACTCTAACCGTTCACCTATCAACAACACAAAACATAACAAATTGATTTCATTCCCTTTTGTGTCAGAAACTACTAACAAAATTACTAGCCCTTTTAATAATTTGAGAATTGGTGTAAAGAAATGTAATCAAACCTTCACATACAATTTACATCTAATTACCTAGCCCGAAAGAATCCCTATTAAAAGAATAAAATCAGGTCATACCATGCAAATGTGGAAAGATATACTTAGAACAAAAGTCACGTTCCTAAGAAATAAGATACAAAGAACATCAAGGTTACATGCTTAGAGATGATTTCCTGTTATTCACCTTAACATCTCATCAATATGAAACAGGTCAGAAAATACTTTGGGATGAAATTCTTCTCCTACACCAACACAAAACTAAAAAAGAAAGAGACTGTTTAGAAACTATAGAAATGATCAAAACAAACAATTTCTAAACTGTGACAATGGCACTAGAAACATCAACCTTATTTGGCAAGGTCTATTCACCGTTCACATACTTCACCTTTACTGATATCCTGCCACCTGCTGACACCATTTCCGTCACATTTAATCTCTGTGTCTTTAGTAACGATACATTGTGTACTTAACAATTTATTTGTTTAACTATAGGTATTGTTAGTATTATAATTATCAGGTTATGTTAGTAGTGTAATTAACAATTTATGTATTCAATTATAGGTCTTGTTAATAGTGTAATTGACAGATTATTCATTTAATTATAGGTCTTGCTAATAGTGTAATTTACAGATTATTCATTTAATTATAGGTCTTGTGTGTGTTAAATTGCACTTGTCTATCAATACATCTTATATATTGGTGCAGCTTCTTTTAAATAGTATTTTAATTTTATCAAATGAAAACCAGCTATTATGTTATTACTTTCTCCCTAAGTACACGTCTTTAGTTCATCAACTTTTTCTATTTATAAGGATCAAATATAATAACTTTAAAGAAGTAAGCAAGTAATTCTAATGTCATGCAATCGTTCAACTTTATAAAACATATCAAGTAATTCCACTTGTAATTTATTCAGAATTTTAAATCTGTGTTTCCGAGCATAATGTAAAGTCCATATTTCCCAGGATAATATTAACTCCTATTTTACCAGCTTGTTGTCATTCCATATTTTCCGGGAGAATATAAACTCCATATTTGTCAGCTTATAATCATTCTATATTCACGAATATATGAACTCCTAGTTTACCAGTTTATTGCCATTCCGTATTTACTAGGAGAATATGAACTCCTAGTTTACCAGTTTACTGCAATTCCGTATTTTCTAGGATAATATGAACTCCTAGTTTACCAGTTTATTGCCATCCCGTATTTTCTAGGAGAATATGAACTCCTAGTTTACCAGTTTATTGCCATCCCGTATTTTCTAGGAGAATATGAACTCCTAGTTTACCAGTTTATTGCCATCCCGTATTTTCTAGGAGAATATGAACTCCTAGTTTACCAGTTTATTACCATTCCGTATTTTCTAGGAGAATATGAACTCCTAACCAGTTTATTGCCATCCCGTATTTTCTAGGAGAATATGAACTCCTAGTTTACCAGTTTATTGCCATCCCGTATTTTCTAGGAGAATATGAATTCCTAGTTTACCAGTTTATTGCCATCCCGTATTTTCTAGGAGAATATGAACTCCTAGTTTACCAGTTTATTGCCATTCCGTATTTACCAGAAATATATTAAGTTCTACTTTCCCAGCATAATGTCTAGAGGGGGTTTTGGCGTCACATTGTGAGCACATGGATTTAATGACGAGAATTTTCACGAATGTTTAGGAAATGAATTGAACGATATAGGAGAAACCAAAAGAGGTTGTTGATTGATTGATTATTACAGTAGTCGTATTGAGTAAAACGTTAGCTCGTATGTTTGTCTGTTACTATTAGTTAATTCAATGGTGTACGTTTTGAGTTTGTGTTTCAAAAAAGTTATAGATAAATGAGAAGTACTTTATGTACGAGAAAATCATCAAATGTAATTTATATTGGTACCTTATTGATTTGTGACTTTAGGCCTACCGTTAGTTACGTGGAACTTGTGGTTGGAGAAAGAAAATGTATTTGTTTTCATTAAGTAGATTGAACTGTTCATGCTGTTTTACCGAATAGTCCAAAAGAATCTGTTCATTAAAAGAAGCCGTTACGACAATATTCTCATAAGAAATCGTCAGTTAGTCACGTTTTCTACTTTGTGATTTATGTACGTAATTACTACAATTTCTTTTTAATGAGGAAAGTAAGGTGATGTGAAAAAATAAAACGTTTAAAGCTATAATCCTATGTTAAAATTACGTGATACTAATAATGGTGAAATTTTCTTGTACCCGAATCTGCGTACAAATTATGGTAAGACAAGAGTGAAAGAGAAAAACCAAAGGTTCCGAAAAAGATGAGTCACATAAAGATAGGACTAGCTAGAGAAAGTCAACTTTCCTAGGAAGATTCGTGAGACTGATTAAAGGAAGAAAAGATTCACACGACATAAAGATAGGACTAGCTAGAGAAAGTCAACTTTCCTAGGAAGATTCGTGAGACTGATTAAAGGAAGAAAAGATTCACACGACATAAAGATAGGACTAGCTAGAGAATATCAACTTTCCTAGGAAGATTCGTGAGACTGATTAAAGGAAGAAAAGTTTCATTCGAAGATCCATCACACAGGGCTAAGACTTACGATTCAAACACCAATAGCTGGCGAAGGGTTAAAAACCAATAGATGTAAAACATGTGATAAAAATCACTTAAACAGCAAATGTTACTTTTTTCATATTAATCTTAATTTGTCTAGTTATGATTCAAAAACAGAGGCCATTAATAAAATTAGATTTCAAATCTATATTTTATCTCCCACAAATCACTGGCCAATAGGTCTTTCATTTAATACCAGAATCTTTCAGTTTAGCCAAACAATAAATCTGAATCCAAAATGACCAAATAGAAAGAATTTAAAAACATATCTGCGGTTTTCTTAATTTTTATCAGTATTTTAGGCCTATTATTTTCGAATGCATTTAAACCGTAACTTTTAAGATATTATACTGTATGTATATGTAGTTGTAGCATTTCAGATAATCTTTCGTTTTTCATATTCAGCCCAAATGAAGACTTCTCGTACAAAACGAAAGGCCTCTTGACAGTAACTTGTGAGAAGTAAAAGACAGATTTGAATTGTTATTTTTTACACGTATCTAATTATGAATCCGAAATATACAATTTGAGAGTAATCTGAAAACAAAGTATCTGCACTTTAATTGAATTTTATCGTATATTTCAGGATTATTGAAAGATAAGAGTAATTTGTGGTCTTTAACTTTTTCAGTACAAACAAATGTTATTATGAAACGAGCTTTTAGGTTAGATTTAAACATAATTGAGTTCTTGTTATAATCTAGTACATATTTTAAGGTTACTTGCCTTACAGTATACTGAGAGGTTTATATGTGTTACGTACAAAAGTCAATGAATACAATAATGTTGCAAAGACCACTCTTGCAACGTAAGCATTAAGTACACATACCAAACAAATACAATAATGTAGTCAAGGCCACTCTCGCAACTCAAGCATACAATATACAAAGTTAAAAAGGAAATACAATAATGTAGCTAAGGTCAATCTCACATTGCAAGTATTAAGCATATATACAAAGTGTCAATGCCATTCTCACAACGCAACAATTAACTACTCAGAATGGTTAAGTTTCAATCAAAACTGTTCTCAAACAAGTAACAGGCACGAGCTCCGTTTCGTTTTTTTTTTTCTATTACGTTATTAATCGTAGACTTAACATCGAACTCGAGTCATTAGTGTGTGTTTTTTTGTAATGACCGCGGAGTTGTATGTCTTCTTTTTTTACGGCAGTTCCTGAAGCTTCGTAGGAAAACAACTCTTTTTGCTGGGGTTTTGATAGAGGAAAGGTGTTAATGTTAAAGACCAACTTGGAGAACTCAAAAACAATGAGAGGTCAAGAAATTGCACTTTGACTTGGAAAATCAAGTCTATACATTCACTATGCTTTCCCGAATAACTAAAATTTCTAAATGAAAGCTTTGAAATAGAAAGAAAGTATAAATGACCTCCTGAATGAACTCTCTCTCTCTATCTTGTGTAAAGTAATAAATAATGAATCATAAAGTGACAAAGTATCGACATTTTTAAGTGATAAGAATGAGCGTTAACTCACCTTCTCGTGTATTCAGTTTACTGTTTGTTTTACTTTTTCTCGTTCAAGGAGAGAGTAATTAGATGTTGTTTTTGTCGTATTCTTATATCCTAAATGAAATACCCTCAAACCCAAGTATGACAACATTCCTTCTGCAGTAAAAATATAGATTTTTTTTCAAAATCTTAGAAGACAACGTATTAATCTAATGACAGTGATTAAAAGAACCGGATATTCCGTGTTATTATATACTTTTGAAAATGGTGCTCGTGGTGAAGCGGTCATCCTGTTGGTCTACAAATCAGTCATGTTCTGGATCTAGTGCAGTTCTCCCAGTAGGGTGCTAATCTTTTATTATCATGTCCACGTTCTGTGTAGACGCATTTCGTATGGATAATGCCCTCACCATAAGTATGTAAGTATGTCTTGGAAGTTAACATTTTCTTAGACCTCAATATTATATCTTTAATCAACATTCGCTTTCCTATTTTAAGATGTAGAAAGTTTTACGGAGAAATCTGGTCAATAATTGTATTCTTTGTTTCTTGAACTTTGAACAGTTCTACCTGGAAAATCAGTCATTTTGAACAAACAAAAATAAAGCCCTCACGGTAGAAACCAGTCAGTTAAACTGCCAGTAATTATATTATTGTGATATTTTAAACTTTGAACAGTTCCTCCTGGGGAACCAGTCATCTTGGATGAACAAGGACAAAGCCTCAAAGGTCTTGTAGGCCCTTACAATGAAGGCGATTCACTTACAGTGATGTGCCAAGCAAAAGGAGGTGAGTAATGTCTGATGAAAATATATGACCATAATGGAAGTCAACACTGTTAAAAGCTCTGTACAAACACACACACACAAACAGTCTCTTAAATAACCTCTCGTGAGCTCATCGACAGTTTCTCAGATGTAATTATATGTTTTAATACATCATGACTATCTAGTACTTCAGATTACTGCAAATTATATAAACAAACTATTTTCCAACCAATCTAACCTCTAATTTACGAAACTGCTTCATTCAACTTGTACACACTAGATTAAACCATAGTTCTAATACTGCTGAATTTTTATGACAATGTGGAATGAAATAAATGTATTTCAATTCTAATATGTAAGTTTTAAATGACCAATGTTACCACCAGCTGCATGACATCGTTTCCCTTTCTATCTTCTTTCATTCAGCATGTAAACATTCATAGTTCCATAAATATCTGTAAAATTATATATTTTGAGATATTTTTCGAGTATACCGTACTTCTAATTTTGACTTGATACAAGTCTAGTGTCCTGTTTGAACAAAATAATATATCCTAACACACTTTGATTATTATTTATTCAAGTTAAAAAATAATTAAAACACATATGTAAAGGTTTATGGTTAAGGGTAATTAGCGAATGACATAATTTCAAGAGCCCGGTCAGGGGTCAGTATTACACTGATTTATATTAAAGTACACAAGAGTAATAAACGTTACTTCTAAATTTAAAATAGCATATCCTTTTCTATTATATTATATTACAAAATATCATATTGACTATTGTTCTCGAGGTTAAACAAAACGGTATGGAAAAACAACATGACTTTTCCTCAGTATTACATTACACCAACTGAAACAAGTGTGTGAATCTAAAAAATGCATTGAAAGAGTGAGCAAAGTAAAACAGAGAAATCCGGAACATGCTTTGACTGCAGAACATGATCAATGTATAAAAAAAATGTTTTTAGGAACTCCGTTAAAAGGGGCATGGATTTTTAATTTTATGTATCAGTGTTATTTCCGTTATTATTTAAATTTCAAAACCTTTCTTTACGACGCGCCATCTATCTTTATGTGTTCACACTAAAATTGATATCATAACTTTAAAATATAATCACATTTTTACCTAGCTTAGACTTATCTGACTTATTAATAGGATCCTGATAAAACCAGATGTCATTGAGAATTTTTTTTTCTAATAAACTTATGAATCTGTCTGCATATATGTGTGTTGTTCACAAGAGCTGCTTCTTCACTTCAGATATTTGAGGTCACGTTAACCCTCTTTCTTTGCCACTATTACTAATAGGTCCAATTTCCTTACCAACCTTTAAACTCAAGCAGAATAAGAATTGTCTAATAGTTTAGTGGTCAATGTATCTGACTGGAATCCAATGCCACAAAATCGCGCTTCAACTCTTTGGAGTCTGGGAACGTTATAATGTTGAAGGTCGAATCCTACTACTTGATTAGACAATAATATGCCAATAGGTGGAAATTGGAGTTGTTAAGTGGTTACATTTCCTCTAGTTTAAAAGTTCAAATTAGGGAGAGTTATTTCATATGACCCTTATATAGGTGGCGAGACGAATATATTTCAATTTAATGGAACACCAACGAGTGCGTGTTCCTTATTTGCTATGTTTAGAGTGATCAATGAATTCAAGACCAAAACAGTAACATTCCATAATAGTTGTACACAAGACTCTATTCACCTTTCAAGTGGGCTCCCTGGTCAAAATTGGGAGCAATTGCCCCTTAGTCCTGTCACTCCTAAACCCTTATGAAGCTGATCACAAATATCCGAAACGAACAAATTATTCCAATGAATATGATTTGTTTGTTTATACTTAAGCACAAAGCTACACAAAGCGCTATCTGTACTCTGCCCACCACGGGTATCGAAACCCGGTTTCCAGCGTTGTAAGTCCGCAGACATATCGCTGTGCCACTGGGGGGGGGGGCTTATTCCAGTGCAAACAGTTATAACTCGTGCTAACACATTCAATGTACAATTTGCTTATAAACTTAGAATATAAGTGTTTATTTATTGGAAATTATAATTTTGTCCCTGTTTCATAAAATATGTTGTGTTTTAAGCCAGGAAGTATGTGTTATATTTCCTAAAAAAATACATTACTTTTAATAAACTTAATTGACTTTGAAATACACAGTAATAACTTCATAGATTACTCATTTTAAAATTTAACTTTTCTTTTCAGGGAAACCACGGCCGACTGTGACCTGGTGGCGAGATTATTCTTTGTTAGACGGCAACTACACTTTTGAGCTTGGGGATATTGTTCAAAACCAGTTAAAACTTGACAGACTTCACCGACAGGACCTGCTTGCAGTGCTGACTTGTCAGGCATCTAATAACAACATCACTGTACCTGCATCCAATGCCATAACCATTGATCTAAACCGTAAGAACGCTTGTAGCTCGAGAAATGTATTTCACATTGATAATTATACAAAGCACTCAACAAATATGTAGATATATTTTTTAAGCAAAACTCTGTTCGACTTGTAATTTTAATGTTCATCAGATGCGTGTAAAATGAACCAAATCCATGATATAAAAACTAAATATTTAATGTACGTTGTTATCCTAACTAATTAGATACGATAGATTTCCAGTATAAAATAAAATAATCAGACTTATAACCTAAGAAGTAGCATAATTTATAAAAAACGAGATATCAAAGTCGCCATGAGTTCCACCAGACTGTTGATTTGTAGGGAAACCCGACGTATTGCTGATTTAATACTTTAATTGCCAGTGAAACCGGAAAAAGCAGTCATCACGACTTCCCAGAAGCCTCTTGTTGCGGATAAAGAAATAGAACTAACATGCACTGCGAAAGGATCGCGCCCTGCCAGCAAAATCTCGTGGTGGAAGGGAAATCAACAAATGCAGAACACCCGAGAGAGTGCACTGCATAGTAGTGACACCACAACCATTCTTACTTTTACGCCATCTATCGACGACAATGGAAACTTCCTCTCGTGCCGTGCTGAAAATCCCCTGATTGTCGGAAGCGCTGTGGAAGATGGTTGGAGACTGGATGTACAGTGTAAACTATCTTTTTCATGATAAACATTACGTTAGTATTTTCATTTAGTATATAAGTTTCGCCTTTTAAAGTCACGTGCCATATTCGTCTAAATAAACAAAGAAGATTTCAAGTTCATATTTTATTAAGTTCTAATTGAGTATTCTAATTCACTTTTGATTTGATATCAGAATGTCATAAAGTTTCTACCTTTCTTTTATTTGCTTGTTGAAAGCTAAAATGAATTTAAAAAATAATATATCCACTATAATGTGAAAAGCGAAAAGACAAGAAGAAGAACATAAAAAATTTTTGGAAGTTATTACATAAAACAATATATATATATTTATATGTAACAAGAGTAAGTTATTAATGACACTTGCTATTCTAGATCCACCTCAGGTAAGCTTGCAGCTCGGCACAAATCTCAAAGTATCAAATATCCAAGAAGGAAACGACGTCTACTTTGAGTGCAACGTTCGTGCAAATCCTTGGATTCACGAGCTGAGCTGGCAGTTTGAAGGACAGGATCTCACCACCAACACGTCAGCAGGCATAATCATCAGTAACCAATCTCTGGTTCTACAGAAAGTGCAAAGAAGCTTTAGAGGGCGGTTTACATGCTCAGGCACCAACAGCCAAGGATTAGGAATCAGTAACGAAATTTTTCTGAAGGTTAAGTGTAAGTGGTTAAAGATCGTTACGTTGGTTAATAAATTCGTGACAACCCGAAGAACTGCGAATTCGGAACAAATAGTATTAGTTCTGTTTCATATCTAATTTTAAAACACGTGGTCAGAAACAATTTTCAACCGATGGGAAGTTGAATATTTTGATAAGAAAACACATCTAATTATTTTATTGATGTTTGTTTGTTTGTTGAATTTCGCTCAAAGTTACTCAAGACTATTTTGCGCTAGCCATACCTAATTTAGAAGAGATAAGTAAACGGAAACAACTAGTAGACACTATCTACCATCATCTCTTGAGCTACTCTTTTATCAATAAAAGTGGAATTGGCGAAGGTTTTTGATGAGAGGATTCGAAACCACGACACGAAACAAATACTTTTATAGATTCAAGCAGAACTGAAGCAAATCAGTTTCTTATATTAAATCGTATTTAAATTTGAGGTCTTGTAAATTGTAATAAAATGATCGTTTGACATGTTTTACTGAATGGAATAAATTATAAATGACAAATTTATGTAACTTCTATACACAGAATAAAAGTGTCTTTGCTCCTAATGAGATATTTATTGTGTACAGATTTATTTTCTTCCGTAAATTCATTTCGCTGAAATATCAAAAATAAATTACATCTTCTGCGTTTACGTGTTTTATTTTTCATAGATGCTCCCTTCTGTAAACCTGGACAAAAGACCACCTACGGTGTGGCCAAACACGAGCCTCTTGACGTGTCATGTGAACTGGATTCTGATCCTGATGATGTGAAAGTCCATTGGCGATTTAACAGTTCTTACAAACGATCAGACAAAATAATCTTTTCTGCGGATCGCGCACACAGTATAGCCACCTACACTCCAGAGTCAGATGAAGACTACGGGAAGCTCTTATGTTGGGGAACCAACGACATCGGGATTCAAAGTGAACCTTGTGTTTTTACCATAGTTCCTGCAGGCAAGTGAAGAAAAACAATATGGAATGTAAAAATATATATATATCTTTGAAAAGTACCGAGTGTTAAAGATACTTTTGTTCTAAAAGTGTGGTATGTTAAAGATAGTTCTGTTTTATAAATACGGAATGTTAAAGATAGTTCTGTTTTAGAAATACGGAATGTTAAAGATAATTCTGTTCTAAAAGTACGGAATGTTAAAGATAGTTCTGTTTTAGAAATACGGAATGTTAAAGATAATTCTGTTCTAAAAGTACGGAATGTTAAAAACAGCTCTGTTATAAATATGTTTGTTTAACGTTAAGCACAAAGCTACACAATGGGCTATCTGTGCTCTACCCACCACCGCTGTGTGTTCTAAACTTATGGAATGTTAAAGATAGTTCTGTTTTAAATATAGGGAATGTAAAAATATCCAGATATATCCAGTTACACAAACACTGTGGCTTTCATTTATGGAATAATTAGACACATATTCAGTATGATGAGTAGATTAAAGTATTGAATGTAAATAAAATAGAGGGCTAAAGATGTCTAGTGTTTAGGTTGTGTTAAGACAAGAATCATCGTTAAAGTTTGATAACTAATAACAGTACTGGAAACAATACAAGCACGAAAATTCAATTAAAATTTGTTAACTATTACAAATACTTCAAATACTACAAACTTTAAAAACCCACTTGAAATATTTTATCTACTCTCAACACTGTAACCGTTATAAGTATGAAACCCTAGTTAAAGTGTTTTTTTTCTATTCTCAACGTTTTTACCATTACAAGTATGACACCCCAGTTAAAATGTTTTACCTACTATCAACACTGTAACCGTTACAAGCATGAAACCCTAGTTAAAGTGTTTTAGCTACTCTAAATACCATAGCCACTACAAGTTTGAATCCGTCAGTTTAAACGTTTATCTCGTTTTAACACTGTAACCACTACATGCATGAAACCTCCATTAATAATGTTTTATCTGCCGTCATTACTGCAACTACAACAAGTATGTTTTATCTACTCGCAATAATATAACCACTAAAAGCAGAAGACTCCGAGTTAAAATTTTACATCTACACTTAACACTATAACTAATACAAGCATGAAACTTAAAGAAGTGAAGTCAGTATGGGCCAGACGATATTCGAAACATACAGTGAAATGTCTACTTTAATTATTGTTATGAACTGAAAATAAGTACCAAATTCATCGTTTTGACAGTGGCTCATATACTCATCCTATTCATTGTACTGTTGTTTTTGTTTCAGCTTTGAGTTCGAAACATTATAAATGGAAAATGTCAGAAGAAGCAAGTCATATTCACATAAACACTCTCAATAAGATTCCCAAAATCATAGATACACTGCCAATAACTATTCCAATCCTCAAAATTGTTTCTTCATTAAAACACTGTCAATAAATATTCCAATGCTCATAAAATCATTGCAAATAAAATTTTCAATTTATTAAAAACGCTGACAATAATCTATCCAGTGTTCGTAGAAGCATTGCTAATGAACTTTACAATGTTCATAGAAACAACAGTAAATAATATTCCAATTTTCATTAAAAGCTGTCAATACACACTTCAATGTTCGTACAAACAATGCCAACAATCATCCAATCTTTATAGAAATACTGCCAATAAATTTTTCAATTTTCATAAAAGCATAATAATCATTCCATTTTTCATATAAAAGTTGTTAATAAGCATTCCAGTATTCATAAAATGCTTTAATAAATTTTTCAAGGCTCATTAAAACAATTTCAATAATCATTCCAATGTTCTAAAACCACTGTCAATAAGTATAACAATGTTCACAGAAACCTTTTAATAATGTTATAAAAATACTGTCAATAAGTGTTCCATTCTTGTACAAGAAGTAGTAAGAGTGAAATGCAATTTCTTCTTCTTCTTTGTTTAGGACCTTTGATACTCATTCATTGTTTTAATGCCTGTCTTTAGGTCCCCCCGATCCTCTTCATAATTGTTCTTTGGTCAATCAAACAGAAGATCTAATTTCTATTCATTGTCTTGAGGGATATGATGGTGGTATGCCACAACGCTTTATTTTAGAGGTGTATTCAATAAACAGTAATACTCTCCAAGCGAACATCACCTCTCCAGCACCAGTGTTTCTGGCTGATGAGTTACCATCTGGCACTCCACTGAGGATAGTCATGTACGCTGCAAACCCAAAGGGTCGAAGTTCTTCCGTGGTCATGCCAGCTTCTACGTTAAGACCTGCCGAAAAATTAACCAGAAGAGGTTTGGAGATTGTATATTTAGCAGTTAGAACATGTCACTGAATCACATAAAATAGTTCGGTTTAGCAAACAATGGAAACTCTTTAGATTAGAGTCCCTTGATGTGCACACTTTTGAAACAGTTACTTATACCTCGTTTTTGTCTAAGCAATTGGCTCCTTTTTGTTTTTTTTTAAAACCTATTGGTCGTGTTGATATTAATTGTGTACGATTTTCTTTCAATCCAGGGTTTACGAACAATACGGAGTTCATGGAAAATCTCAGTATCCTAGTATAAAAAGTTTTAAAAATAATGAGAGTTTTATTTATCGTGGTCTAAAATAGAATTGGTAGGTCTTTTGTAAATGAAATAAAGATGACATAGGAAACAGTATTACCATATAATGGAATAATTTGTTCATGTTATTTCTAGGAGATGGCGAAGGAATCTTCATCATTCGTCCATTTCTTGCTATTCTTATCGCCATTGTTGCTGTTCTAGTCATTATTGCTTTAGTTTTAGCCATATTCATCCGCTCAAAGTGGAAGAGGCGAATGAAGGGTAAGTTGTATTAGTCTGTTAGGTATTGATAACACCGACCTTAGAGCACTTGAAATACTCGTGGGTATTTTCTTCATTAATTAACAACCATCCTGATTTAGTTCATAGCAGGAACGTGTTGGCTAATGTTATTGAGGAGTTTACCACTTGGAATTATTATTACGTCAGCAATACTATGAGGAAAATTTTTGTAATTTGCTGAATTTTACTTACATATGTTTTTTTTTAATTTGTCACTATTTAAATATAATATTTTTCTTTAAGCTGACCAAGTTCATTGCAACGTTATTTGTACGCTAATCTGGAAAATAGCAGCGCTAACACTAGTTGGTCCTCGTATAATTTCATTAAGCTGAAATGAAACGAAAACACAAAAACAAGACACATAAAACAAAAACATTACTATTTATCATGAATATTTTACTTCCATAGTTTGCTGTGTCTTACATAAGACTGCTTAGCACTGAATAACTGACTTAACTCCTAAGATGATGGAAGTCTAAAAATATTTTATCAATGCCTCTTATGAATTATTTTTCTAATTGCTGAAACCCTGGAAATCAGATTTGATTATAAGAATAAGTATTCAGTGCTTACTTTTTACTTTCCCTCTGTTCATCAAACTTTATGTATTCTGTGGTGATATCAGGATAACTTTAGTACAGTGTAATTTCATGGAAATAGAGAAGAAGATTTAAATAAAAAACCAGTAAATACACAGCCGATGATAAGCCAAATATGCTTAATTCTGTGAAGTTCATTACTGATACACTTTTTCTATTAGAATATTAAGAATGATATTCTGTTGATGATAAGCCAGACATACTAATCTTATAACGTTCATTAATGATAGTTTTTGTTTTGTTTTTTGTGAAAACATTATGTTTGTTTATATTTCAAAATCAAATGCATTAATTTATTTTTAAATTTGACAAAATTTCTGTCTTTTTTTTAACAGGACAATTAAGAAGAAACATTCCAGAATCAGAAAAGTGAGTAATAGAAAGAGACAAGCCGGGTTTTTTCAAAACCGAAGGACTTTTTACCAGGGTCTAAAATTTGTTAAACTTCATTTTAACGCAATCGTGTTTATGAAAATAGTGTAAAAGCAATGTTTTATTTGATCTTGCGTAACAACATTAACTTATTTTATTATCGTAAACATGTTTAAAACCAATTTTAATTAAATGTAACATGTTTTTGTAGAAACTGATTATATTTGATGTTATATGCCCAAACTTTTGGACTTTTCATTTTGCATAATTAAGTGAAGTAACTTCTCTTATTGCTTTACTTTCAATTATATAATTCCATTAATTAATTAATTCCAGCTTCAAAGCAAAAACGTTTTTTTTTCATCTCGCCTTGTTGCAGTTTCAGAGTGAAATACCGATGGTATATATGAGAGAGAAATCGGATTCGTAATTAAAACGAATTAAACAGTGATAAAAAATAAATAGCACTGATTAAGACAATTTTTTTAAAAGTATCTAAATCCAACTATTATGTTTTGGGTTTAGGAAAACATACAATGCAACAGTGTTGTTGGTAGAATCTTGTTATAACAACTACAAAGTTGATTAACGTTGTTCGATGTAATTCACCAATTTCCCCAAGTTAGGTGAACGCACGTTGGGCTTTGTTTCTGATGCAGTTTAAAATTGTTCTAATCATTTTTCTTTTTGACGATAGACAGTTCCAAAGCTAGTTGACTTATGTATGGATTACAACAACAGCACTGGTCCTTTTCCAGTGTGTTTGTGTATGTGTCATGCTTTAAATTGTTAACATATACTCGTACGTTAATCAGCACTAACACTAGTTGGTCCTTCCTCAGAGTGTTTGTCATGCTTGTTTACTGTTACCATATACTCATACACTAAACTGAACCAAAGTAGCCTTAACACTAGTTGAGCCTTTCTCAGAGTGTTTGTCATGCTTGTTTACTGTTACCATATACTCATACACTAAACTGAACCAAAGTAGCCTTAACACTAGTTGGTCCGACCAACTAGTAGTGTGAAGGCTACTGTGTTTCGGGTTAGTATACGATTATATGTTAATGATAAATAAGCATGGTACACAGGCTGAGAAAGGCTCAACTAGTGTTAAGGCTACTTTGGTTCAGTTTAGTGTATGAGTATATGGTAACAGTAAACAAGCATGACAAACACTCTGAGGAAATTTCTCGGTCTATGTGCCCTGCTTACTTACTTTTAAGATATACTAAAAAGAAAAAAAAAATGGAAGTAGTTTAATGTTCATAGGCAACTAACTTTGACACACCCTGTACAAAGATTTAACCAACTGACGCGTCCTGTACAAAGATTTAACCAACTGACGCGTCCTGTACAAAAGACTTAACTAACTTTTAACACGCCCTGAACAAAGAGTTAACTAGCTTTTGACACGCCCTGTACAAAGATTTAAGTAACGAGCACTCCTGTACAAAGACTTAACTAACTTTTGACACGCCCTCTATAAAGATTTAACTACCTTTTTACACTCCCTGTACAAAGATTTAACTGACTTTTTACACGCCCTGTTTTCGTATGCGGCTGATAGAGAGTGGTACTTCACTTCTTTCGTCGCAAATATTCCTAATTAAAATCACTGATTACCTGCGACCACCTGGTGTTAATATTGATGGGTAGTACTCTGTTTATAAGAGCAATAAACTTATCGATTTTGGATAAAGTATTTAAATACCGAATTATTTACTATCATTTTCGAATGCTATAACTTCCATTTACATATATTTTATGGTGTTCACTAATGATGAGTATTTGGATTACATCAAACACGAGTTTTGAGTAAATATTTTAGGTCATGAACACCCGAATGTTTCTTCACACTACTAACTACACTATCTCTGAAGATGGATGTGAAAACTTTTAATCTGTGGTTATTTCCTGCATCCGTCATGGCGGGAATAGCTGCAGGATGAGTTACCAACGTGATTTAACTTCCTCTGATGTGAAATTGTTTCTCTTCTATAGATTCCGATCCAACAACGACTTTAACATCTTGGATGATACCATAAACAATATATTGCCATTGTTTAGGGTATATGTAACGAAAGACAAACAACGACTTTTATATCCTGAATAGTGCGCTAAGCAGTATATTGTCTTTGTTTGTAACGACAGGAAATATCACATGCATTAAGAAATTTCCGGGTAATTTGAGCAAATTACCTCACTCTCTCTCATTCAAGTAACAAAGCAAAGCTACTAGAAATGTTCTATTTTATTATCATCATGTATTTACGCGTTAGAACATATTCATTGAGTTCCATTGTCAGTTTAATCACTGAAAATTAAAGCTACGCTTAGTGGCGCCATGTTTTATCCAACTATAGAAAATGATAGGTTCCATTATTTTTGGAATGGCTTGTCCAGATTAAAATAAGAGATAATTTCAAAGATTTCCACATCATAAGTCTCAATCATGCACATTCAGTCATCTTAGCGTTAGATTAGAAACTTAAATCCGCATCCTTTGTTTGATAATACATATATATATATAAAACAAACAAAATAATGTTAGAAAATACACAATTATGTTTCGGTTTTATAGGTCAGAGATGCCCCTGAAGAAGGATGTAGAAGATCTTGGTGAGATTGAGAATACGGGGCCAGACATTATTCCTGATAAAGGTATTACCCGATCACCTTTTGCAGGTATGACTTGGAAGTGGTTCAAAGCCTTATTTATAACCTGGAAGCATTTCAATTACCTCCTACTCTTTATCAGTTGAAAGTATGCAATTCTAACCTTTAAAAAAATTCATTCCCTGAAATAATAAATGTAAACAGTGTTGAAAATAAGAAAAGCCCTAAAAATTTTCAATAACTTTTTACGTCTGACGAACGTATTTTAATACTGGAAATACATGTACTGAATAGTTTGTTGTTGGCAGTTAAGCACACAGCCACATAGTGGGCTATTTGTGCTCTGCCCGCCACGGGTATCGAAACAAGGTTTCTAGCATTGTAAATCCGTAGACATACCGGTGTGCCACTGGGGGACATTATCGAGTAGTAAGGTATCTACAATATATATTAGTACCGGTTGTGACTGATCAAAGAAACGACATAATACGATCATTTATAACCTAGTAATGAGGGGTAGCATATACAAAGATTTCAAGTAGCAACGAAACATTGTAATTTTGAAATATTAACTGGGTTTTCAATATGTTCAGAAAGAGTTCCGTAAATAATGGTGATTTTTAATATTGGTATTTGGTATCATATTATACGCTTTCTAAAATACGTCTTCAGTTAGTTGGGATCGATATTTAAAATTATACATTTACAGAGACGGCATGGATTAATAATGTCAATCTATAATATAATATCGTCAACATACAGACAAGGATAGAAGTAAAAGTTAGTTCAGTCTGTAGTTAACAGACATTAAATGATTGAAAACATTTTAAACAAAATATGAAAAAAAACGTATGTTACCGCTGACTTATGAACCGTTGTAAACGTCATATTTTAATTTTTAAAATCGATTTGGTCTACTTTAAAGCTATAGAACATATTAAAAACATATGAAACTGTCCTTTCTTGATATTTATCGTTCTAAAGTCCAACTTAAAGCTTTATATTTCTCACTCAGAAGTCATTTCCAGCGAATGAAATGTCAAGGATTCCATGCCGTATTATCTATTAATCGTGTTAATTCCACATGCCAAGAAGATATTAATTAAAGTTGGCAGCAATTAACTTAAAATTTTTAACCTGGCTTTTACTTGTGTATTGATATAAAATTCTGAATAATTAGAGACGAGAAAATGTTTTGCTAACTTTGGTAAAAATGCTTGTTGAATATCCATCAATATCAAAGGATTTTTTATTACAGATTGCATGGATGAAAAGGATCAAAGATGCTTGCAACTAAGCAACACCGTGGAAGATCACAGCATACATTCTCCGAAAAGAGACCATGTGGAAGTTGTCTATAGTAGTCCAGTTTATACGAAGAGCCGCCTGGCCGACATAAACAGTCCCAAAATTATTTCGGCCACAACAGTACGTATATGAAAATTTCCTAGTAATATTCAATATATTCAATCAGTATAACTAAAAAAAAGTCTATACCCTCTGGGTTTAAATCGTTTTACGATCCTATTTGTAATGGTTGCCAACCAACCAATAAAGTGTCAATATTTTCAACCAGAACAGCATCTTATGTGCACATAAGTAAGCCAGGTCAGCGACTCTTACAGTTTAGGTGTAACCGTCCTTAATTTTTAACTATTAACCAAAACGAAAACAAACCGCTACAAGAGCTTTGTCTGACTTTGAACTAACAAACAATAAAAATATACCGTTTTTGTGATATAGAATTGACAGTGGAGCTGTTTTCGTTAGCTGTATGCAATTTGTATATCACAGCAATACCTTATGAAGGATGTTCTATGTGTATAAGATATTCTGGGATATTGTATTTAGTAAAGGATATCTTACGTGTGATAGCTTTCTTAGCATGTAAGTTTAAGGGGTAAATTTGTAATTGTGGGGAAAAACTTAAAATAAACTCTAGGCTGACTCCACAAGGTATTTATTGAACGCAAGCTTTCAAACTCATTTATGATCTCTTCGTCGGGCGAGAAAATTCGAATATGAAAGTGACATTAAACACATCAGTGTAGAACATCACATAACGTGCAAAGATAAACCGCATCATAAGCCGAAAACGTACAACAGGTGGCGCGTTAAACCAATTAAATAATTATATCTATAAACATAATTATAGCTCAGATTACATATAAAATTGTACATTATTTACACTTGCAAACAAAGATACCGAACATTAAATCAATTAAGAACATCAGTGTAAAACTAATGAAAGGAATATAAATATAATCAATTCAAGACACAATGCCTAAATAATAAGTGACTGAGACACAATGCTAAGATATTAAAATTGTATTCCACAATTCCTGAACTTTGGGTTAAAGAAAGGATAATATGGCAGTTTGCTCATTTCTTTCTTTCTTGTTTTAATTTATGTCTTTGGTATTGTATGCCCTTAAGTTCGGAAACCGATTTAACGAAAAAGAAAAAAGAAATATAACGCAGTTTATCTGAGAATTCAGCACCACGAAGACGTATGGATCGTGAGAAATGAGACAGAATAACATTTTTCTTAACATGAATAAGATAGCTAAAATTGAACTCTGATAGTGATTTGTGTGTGTTGGTTTTTTATACTTGTCCAACTAATTTTGATTATCTTATTATTAACAAAGTTTGAACTAAATGAAGTTGATTATCATTTTCCACTTCAGTTGTGAACTAGGTGGACGAATCCTGGTTATTAAGGTTGTCATCGATTTTTTTTATAGAATCTAAACCATGTTTCCAAATCTCAAAGATTTTGTCAAAATATTCTAACCACAAGGAAGGTTTCAGAACAGATGTAGCAATAGCTCGTTTTGGTAAAGAGTGTACATCCTTATATCACTTGGAAAGATAAATTTTTCAAGGAAAGTAGGGAGTAGAAAGGCATCTATCAATAGGTCTTATGATATAAGACAGAGTTGTTCGCAACGTTAAAGTCCATTCAGTTATAACTCTAGAACAAACAACTTTTTGCAACTGTAGTAAACAGAGACTGAACATCAAAACGGGCTGAAACATCGTAATTAGCAATCTCCACACTATGTAGGTTTAGTAAGACATCAGAATAGCGGTTTTTGTTTTACCTCAACGCTACACAGTCGACTGTCTACGCTCTGTCCACCGAAGGGAATAGTACAACGGATTTTAACGTTGTAAATCCGTTAACTTACTGCCAACCACCAGGGAGAAAGAATTAGTGTGTGAAGCTAGTAGATCGACTAAGCTGGCAATTTGTCAAGTTGTGTTATATGTTAGACTGTCCTTGTAACTCATAATTCGTCAGATTAGTACATTCGGTTTGTAGAGATTTGGTAATGTTTGAAGTCTAGTTGGAACGTAGTTTTCAACGAATGTTTTCGATAACATCTCACAGTCGTTTAAGATGATATAAAACGTTCATTAAGTTCCTTTCATTGTTATATGTTAGACTGTCCTTGTAACTCATAATTCGTCAGATTAGTACATTCGGTTTATAGAGATTTGGTAATGTTTCAAGTCTAGTTGGAACGTAGTTTTCAACGAATGTTTTCGATAACGTCTCACAGTCGTTTAAGATGACATAAAACGTTCATTAAGTTCCTTTCATTTGTCTTGGTAGAATATTTTCCAAATTGCTGGCTACAAGGTTCGGATAACACAGTTATAAATCTATCATTTGATTAGGCCTGAAGTTAAACACCATGACCTGGAATAAAACTCAGGAAAAATAGATATATAATATACTGTGTTGAGTACAGGCTATCCTAAGTAGATCTCTGTTATAATTTGTTGAGTACAGGGTATATCATATGCTACAGATTATTAGTATTTTATGTACATCTAGGCTGTTTTGTTTAAATGGTTTTAGTATATTGTGTTGAGTGCAGATCATCGTATGTGTAACATATTCCTGGAATATTTTGTTCAATACAGGCTATCCAACGTGTAACCGATATTTATTATATTGTATACAGTGCATGTTATCAAATGTGTAACAGATTACTTGTAAATGTTTTCAGTCCTGGCTACCCTACGTGAAATATATTTCTAGTACAAGCTATCCTGTGTTTAATAGATTTCAAGTATACCGTGCACAGTGCAGGTTATCCTATGTGTAACAGTACTTTGATATATTGCGTTGAGTGTATGTCTTTGTATGTGTAACATATTTCTATGTTATTGCATATCGTGTAGGTTATATATCCTACGTGTAACATACTTCTCACAGATTTTGTCGAGTATTGGCTGTACTATGTGTAACATGTTTCTTATATATTGTGTTGAATACAGGCCGTCCAATGTGTAACATCTTTCTGATATATACAGGTTTCCAGTATATTGTTATTGGTCAAGGCTTTTTATTTTTGATAGAGATTTAGTATTTCCTGTTGAGTGGATGTCATCGCATATATAATAAATAACCAACTTCTAGTGCATATTGTTCAGTATTGTCTATTTTATGTGTAATATATGTTTAATATATCGTGTTCAGTATGTAGTATCCTATGCGTAACACATTTCAAGTGTAATAATGGCTGGAGACGGCTTGAATGGGTAATTAAGAAAAACTTTAATATAAGTTTAACATAACAGCAAATGTACAACGTTTCGACAAGGTTTTGCCATCATCAGGTCGAAACGTTGTACATTTGG